GCCGTGCCGGGGCGAGCGGGGGTACGGGAGAGTACCTGCGCAAGGCTGACGAGGTGCGGAACCGAATCGTTGCCGAACTGGCTCATCACCACGACCGGGTTGGACGCCTGGAGATGGGTCACCACCTGATCGGCGGCGGCGAACAGCTGGCTGATGCCGGTGAGCCACTTGGACGAGTTGGCGGCGCGCCGCCACTCCTTCGCACTCTCGTGCCGGTGCGACATGAAGAGCTGCGGGTCAAAGGACGCGATCAGGCCGTTGAGCTTGACCAGACTGTCCTCCACCTCGGCCGGCTGCAACAGGTGCGTCTTGTACTTGAATATCTGGCCCTCGTCTACAACCATAACAAGATCATATATATATGATCATCATCACTCAACGATTAACCAACGCTTGGTCGTAGCAGTGGAATGATAAGTGATGCGCGTACCCGAGTCTATACGCTTGGCCTTGCCTGCAGCCCACAAAACAAGGAAAACACATTTCATTTTCAAGGACCGGTGAGTTGACCGAAGAATGCAAGGAACGCAAATGGAAAGTCGGGAGGAGGAGGGGGCGAGACGTACTTGGTCCTCCCTTGATGAAGGACAGCGACGCGGCGGTATCCGACCGCGACTTCTTCTTGGCGCCGATGCTGGTGATGAACACGTGCACGGCACGCGAGTCTTCGTGGAGCAGCAGGAGCTGCTGCAGCATGCTGCGGTGCTTGCGCGCGTCCTTGCTCTGCTTGGGCGCTCGGTCGGCGTCAAAGTCGGCGGTCACACCTCGGGCCTCCTCCGCCACGAGCACCTTGGCCGAGCGCAGCAGGCACGCCTTGGTCTGTGCGCTGCGCCAACACAGCGCGAGGGTCCATCGCCGCCACTTCAACGGCGACTTCCACATGGTGTTGATAGCGTCTGTTCATATGCAAAAGAATGTTAATGAGTGATCAAGATAATGGCCCAATGGGATGGCCAATGAGTAGCCGGCCGTACCGTCGCTCATCTTCTCGGGCACAATGAACTGGTTGGGGAATCGCGGGAACCGGAAATCGTAGTTGCTGTTGGTGATGCGCCACTCGTCGGCCGACAGCTGAAGCCGCGCGAACTCCTTCTCCGGGTCGTACAGGCTGAAGCCCGACAGGTTGGTCTGGTAGGCGCCAAACTGCTCCTTGTTCTTGTAGGCAAAGAGATCACTTTGTTGAGCGCCGAAAGATCGAGTGAGCAGAGGGCACGCAGGACAACCACACACACACGCGCGCACACACACACACACACACACACGACATTTCTTAAGGAGGACACGCACAAGATGTGGGCCGGAAATAGGTTTTGCTTGAGGAGCGCGGAGAGGTTAAGTTGGTGCTCGGGATGGATGAAATAGAGCGTGATGGTGCGGAAGTCCTTGCACGTGAGGGCCAGGCCCTGCAGATTCCGCTCTTCGTGTCGCGCCAGCGTAACCCTCATCACCAGCGCCAGCGGCACGCTCACGCTCTTTCTTTTTGCCTGCGCGGGAACGAGAAACGCGTCAAGAGCTGGCCGGTTGTTGCGTTGCGTGGCGTGGCGTGGCGTGGCGCACTTACCTTGGTGACAAGGATGAGTCGGTAGTTGGTGGCCTTCAGTATGGCCTCCTGGCAACTACGCGATGAGTGGTACGTGAAGAGCACGTCCTCGCCACTCGCCCCCGTGCTGTACATCATCTGCTCGCCCGCAACCAGCGCCACGCCTGTGTGTCGCGCGCATGCCACGCAAGTTACAACATTGTTAGCATTCTTTTCGAGAAGTTCAGAGGGGCTGGCGTGGCTGTGTGACACCTGTGGCCGGGCTGTGTCGAGAGTCGGTGGAGGAGGAGTTGCCGGACCACGAGGCCTGCGATGACGACAGCTGGCTCATGCCATCACTGCTCATGATGCGCCCGAAGCCGTGCACGGGCGACCCGCTGCCGCCCATGCGCGACGGGGGCACCATCAGGTGGCCCGACGAGTCGAGGCCGAGGGGCGCCGTGCCGGATTGTGACTGCGTGAGTAGGGAGGGAGCGCGCGACAAGGGCACTGACGTCATGGAGAGGGGCGACGGCGCGGCGGTCGCCTGCAGCTTGGCCCGCGCGCGAAGCAGAGCGTCGGCCCACTGCTGCGCCTCGCGCTCCGATTCCGCGGCAAAGGAGTGGACCGCGCCCTGCGACATGACCTCGAACGCGGATCGCTTGTTTGATGCCAGTTTGACGCCCTCGATCTGCGACAGCGACACTGACGTCTGCGGTATGGCATCTGCGTGTTTTCACCACAACGTGGACCAGCGGTCAGCTTCAAACACGTGCTTGCAGGGTGCGGCCCAGCCAGGCGGGGCGTTGCAGAAGGGGAATAGAGAGTAGAGAAATTCGAAAGGGGCGCAATGGCAGCAACTCGTGCCTCAGTTGATTGTTTGCGCTTGCTGCCCGTTCTGTGCTGTTATTAATCTGTGGCCTTATTTATTTATTTTTCTTTTTCTTCCGGGCGTAGCCGGCATCGTGCCATCTTTCTCTTTTGATTATTTTTGTTTTTGGCTTGATCGTGAGGTCGCCATCTTCATATCTTTATATGTTAATATTGTGAATGATGTGCTGGCTGGTGGCGGGAGAGATGAGGGATTACCATCTTTCTTCTTTCGTATGGTGAGGGAGGACCGCGTGAGGGTGACGTGCCGCGTTTGCCAACGCTTCACCAGCGCTTTGTTGGTGGGCCTCCGCTGAAGGTAGCCCTCCAGCACCACCGCCTCCCGCGCGCTCTGATCCATTCCTCTCTCTCCCTTCTCCGCACTTCCTCTTCTCCTTCGTGCGTGTTCGTCAAAAGTCCAGTTCGTCACCGTTCAACCCCTCTCACTTGCTGTCTATCTCGATCTGGTCTCTCTCTCTCTCTCTCGCAGCCGCAGTGTTGTTGCCGACACACCACTCTCTTCTTCGTCAGGTGTTGTCTGCCCTTGTTTTGGTGAGGGTACCCGTTCGCGCCCAACCTGCGCGGGGTCGACACAAAAAAGTAACATGTTCTTCTTGGCACCATCTCCCGGTGACTACGTGCCATCGAGGCTTGGTTGGACCCTGACCTGACTGGACTGGACTGTGCACCTCGACAAGGCGCGGTGGCACGCGGGAGACCAAGGGCAGATCTCCCAAGGCCATCGCCTTGTCGAACCAAAGGGCAAGGGGGTGGTGGGATATAACCGCAAATGCGGTGAGAAAATTTAAGAATATTCCTATTTTCTCTTTTCCTTTTGAGACTCCCTTCGCGCCGACCAATTTACATCGCATTGTGCTCTCCATCTCTGCCGCCCGACCGAGATTAATCTTCTTGTCTAGAATCTCCCTTCATCACAAAATGGCCAGAGCGAGGAGCGGATCGTTCTCTGAACAGATGATGGACATGGAGGAGGTCCTCGTGTCGGAGGGTGCCATCGAGGCCCGCGTTCGTCAGCTCGCGGAGCAGATTAACAAGGAGTACAAGGGAAAGAGCATCGTCGTGATTGGCATCCTCAAGGGTTCCGTCATGTTCATGACCGACCTTGTCAAGCGCCTGCACGTCGACGCCAAGATCGAATTCATGGTGCTTCCCGCCTCCAGGCTTCCATTTCAAATTTCACGTTCGCTTTCGCTTTTTGCCATCGTCACACGATACATCCGTGGATGACACTTTCATCCTCGTCGATTCTTGCCCATTGATTGGCCTGCACATGTTCTCATAGTCGAAATTAGTATTCGTATTTCGCCGATTTATGTTGACAATGGCGCGAGCGAGTAATCCGCCAAAAACGAGATAGTGTAGGCTGATGCTTTCTTTTCTTCTTTCGAACGCTTCCATCTTACCGATGATCGTTTTCTCTGCAGGCCGTCTCGTCGTACGGCTCGTCCACCGTCTCTTCGGGTGCCGTCAAGATCGTGATGGACACCAGGACCTCCATCGAGGGTCAGCACGTTGTCGTACGAAACTTCTCTTTCTCTCCCTCCTCTTTGTCTCTGCTGTGTCACTTTGTTTTGGTGACGTGGTTCGATTTGAGTGGTTGCAAGCATGCCACGCCCAATTGGTTGGCTCATCATTGATCAACAATGAGAACTCTTCTGGTGGTGCTTTACGCTGGGTGAGCACCGATTTGCTCATCCGTGGCCACGTGCACCGCTACACAGGTCGTGGAGGACATCGTGGACAGCGGCTACACGATGCGCTACCTGAAGAACCTTCTGCTCTCCCGCAAGCCCGCCTCGCTGGAGATCTGCGTCCTGCTTGAGAAGCCCTCGCGCTTGAAGGTACCAGTGGATCTCCCTCCTCGTCTTGTTGTGGGCTTTCGAATGGAAATTGCCCTTTTAGACAGGCACCCAAGGCCCAGCGAGATGACGTACTCACAAGGCGTGCGTTTGTTGCGTCGGCCAGGTTGCTCCGGAGGAGCTCGGTATCAAGTACATCGGTTTCGAGATTCCAGACAAGTGGGTCGTGGGCTATGGTACTCAACAACTGCCGCGCAATGCCACCATCACCACTCTCACGTGACTCACACTGCCTTGGTGCACGTTGTGTGCTCAGGCATGGACTACGACGAGCGCTACAGGTGCCTGCCCTTCATCGGCGTCCTCAAGAGGTCCGTCTACGACTCCACCTTCGTCGTCGAGGCCGAGGCCACCAACTCGCAGTAGACACTCCAGTTCATTCCCTCCTGGTGGTGCTCAACAACAACAATCTCGAAGGCCCAGTAAAAACTACGCGGCTCTTCGGCTTTTGTCGGTTTTGGGGCTGGTTACATTGCACGGTGTGCAGATGCAGTATGTCGATCGTATGTTACAGGTTCCGAATGTCGACATTACGCTGTTTGGGTCCTGGCGTCCCGTGTTTTACGCTCCCAAGAATGTGATGCGCAAAGACCACGCCATTCTTCGAATACGCGCTGGGATTTTTATTTCTGGCCATCACCCAATGAACGTGGCGGCTTGTGTGGGATACAGCTAACTCGACCGGAAAAATCCAGAGCGTACCAAAGCAGTTAGTTAGTTTATTCTTGGTAACCCACCTGCGCAGCAGCCAGAAGCACACGCCAGTGTCTGACCTTCCTCCTGTCGCCGCCGTGCCACTCCGCCCGCCTTCTAGTACTTTTCCTCTCGTTCGTCACAACAGAAGACTGCAGAGCGTGGCCACTCTCCGCTCTCGCTTTGATTCTTTCTCGCTTTTCGTTCTTTCAGTCCAGAAGTCGAGTGTTCACAACAACCGTGGTACGCCATCATCTAGAGTGCAGCCCTCCTCTACATGAGGGGCGGGCGAACCCTATCACTTCTTGTTCTCATCTTCATCATCTTGTGGTTATTCTTGCGTGAACCGATGTGAGGTGCTCACCTCACACCGCCGCGCTTTTCAGACACTGCCTACTGTGGCGATCCGCAACTCCTTGGCGCGTCTGCTTGCGAGAAGAGCTCGCAACTCAAGCCGAGCGTACAAGCGAGTGTGCCACCACCACCATGAGTCGGCGCGGGCGGTGGCCGTCCTCTCCTGACGATGCCGAAGGCGCCGACGAGAAGGAGCGCGAGCGTCGCAAGGTGCGCACCAAAGATTGCCCAGAAGATGAAGAAGGAGACAGGATGTTGGAAGAGAAAGAGGAGGAGGACGAGGGCGCGAAGCCAAGCCCAGCTCCTTCTCAACCCTTGGCTTCACTCTTGGCCGCCATCCATGAAGAGGCTTCGAATCAATCGACCATCCCCCTCGATGACGGTGCTCCTACATCAACAACGCGCTCTTCTTCGCCGAGGTCCTCTCGATCCGGCCGCCGAGGGAAGCAGAGACATATCTCAAGCTCACCTTCTCACTCAACGCCGCCGCGACCGACTCGCACATCGCCTCGCATCTCTTCACGCACGCGCTCCACTACTTCCACTGCCACCACTCCTCTTCCACCTTCATCCAACACTTCAACATTTCCTTCTTCTACATCTTCAACGCCTTCTCTGCCCGCACATCAACAACAGCACATGCCCCGGCAAGCACAAGACTATCAGTCGCCCGCCACCCAGACTACAATCGCTGCTACGGGCACCGTCGGAGCGGCGACTACGGCGCTACCACGCGCCACGCCGCCGGAAGTAGTGGTGGCCGCCATGGTGCAGAACCTCGCCGGCACGCACGTCACCTTCCCCCCCAACAGCGACTGGGCTACGGTACCTACCAACTACCGTCACCCTCGCCTTTGTGCTGCCCCTAAATCGCCCGAGGCCAAAGAAAGTGAGCGAAGTTCATCAGCGGATAAGTCCACTCCGACGTGCAACCCGAGTTGCCTATCAGCACACGACGACGGGGGGGCCAATCCACACTGGCCCATTTATCGAAATTTCGCCATGGCGAGCCAGAAAAGGGCCTCCAAGCTAATCTCTGACTCCGCCACTGTGTCATGGACTGTCACGCAGGTCAACACCTTAGCTGGCTCGATTGCCGGTCTGGCGGAGCGGGCAGGCCAGGGTCATATCGGCCCCAACGAGGTGGCCGCGCTCCAGCAGGGCGCTACCTTGCTCCAGCTGGTGATGGGCGGCGTTCAGCCCGCCTGGTTCTACCCCGCTCCGCCTCAGCTACCACCTCAGCAGACCAGCGCGCCATCGGCGGCGCCACTGCCACCGCCGCCCGCCAGCGCAACAGTGGCTCCGCCTGGACCGATCTTGACGCCACTTCAACACCCTCCGCCTCCTCGGCAACCTGCACCACTACCAGCGCAATCGTTGGCCGCTGCTCCTCCGCAACAGACAACTCTGCCGCCACTTCGCTCCCTCTTCCTTCCCGCACCTCCACCCCCACAACAGCCGCAAGGCCGTACCGATCAGGTACCTGAGTTCGTGGCGGGTGAGTATGATTCGCGGCTGGCGGCTCACTTGTCTTGTTGTTGGTTGCAGGTGCGCTCAGGCGAGGACACCCCGGCGCGACGGCCCCACGGCAAGTGATGCTCGCCAAGCGGCACAAGTGTACAACAAGAAAATATCAATGAAATTAAAATTTCTTTTTGAATTGCTTTGCGGAGCAGACGAAAGATCGATTAATTTCGTTGATCTCGCTACCTTCCGTCCAAGCCGTTCTTGTTGGAACTTGAAGGGGAGAAGAAGACTCTAGAGGTTGAAGACAATGCTTTCCTCTCGCGCCAAGATTCGCCACAGTGCGGCCCGGCTGCCGCATGTCCAGCACCATCTCCAGCGCCAGCAACGCTCCGCGGGGGCGCTGGTATTGAATGCGAGGTCCTACGCTGCCACGCACGAGATGACCCAGCAGGAGGAATCGAGCGATTCGATCAAGCACCTCCTCAAGGGTCCGGTCACGCCGCTCACAATCTTCGCGACTAGTCCGCCACCCGAGCCCCACCCTTCCACCTATCAAGTGCCGGCCGCTGCTGCTGATGGAGCCACGCTCGACTTCCGACTCTCCTTTGCCTTCCCCACGGTACGCATTCTAAATCTTCCGCCTCCATCCCCACAATGGAATTTCCGATCGGCAACCAGACCCTGCCCAGGGGCTGGGGTCATCATGCTCATAAATTGCGCTGCTTGAGAGATTAAAATTGTTGATAAAAACCCCATGAAGAGGTTCATTCATCTCCTCACGCGAAACGTGCCACTTGGCTTGTGCGGTTGTAACAGGTACAAAAGATCAAGGAAGAGCGCTTCAAGGAGGAGATGGGTGTCTTCAAGATCCTGTACGAGCGACCATTCCTGCAGGAGTACAAGAACGTCATGTACGCATCCCCTCTATGGGACTGGCAGCGCTGCAGTGTTTGCGCCCTCACGCGCTATGTGTGCTGTTGCTGCCTTGTACTGAATGGGCATCTCGTCTTCAGGCAAGAGAAGAAGCAGCAGAAGAAGAGCGAGCGTGCCGCGGCGAAGAAGGCGAAGAAGGAAATGAAGAAGCTGGGCCTCCTGCCCAACGATCGCAAGAAGACCCTCTTCGAGCTGGAGCAGGACAGGCAGAGAAAGCGTACGCGCGCGCCTTCTTCTCATTCTGGCCTCTCTTTTACGCCCAAGTCGCTGACGCGCAATCCGCACACCAGTGTTCTTGCAGACGCTGCACTACCCCTACCAGGTCCCCGACATGAGCGTCAAGGGCGAAGAACTGAAGAAGTACAGCTCTCTCCCCCTTTAGCTCTCCGTCATTCGACTCCGCCGAAGCCGTAGCGCTGACCCCGTCCGTGTTGCGCAGGTATTTCAACTTTATCGCCACGCACTCGGAGAAGGAGATCTACGACAGGCTCTACCCGGAGTTCTTTGGCGACACCAGGGAGCACGTCGAGAATCTGGTCCCCCACAAGCGTAAGTCATTGCCTACCCCCCCTCCGATCTACGCCTAAGATTGGAGGCTTTGAATCGTAGAAACTTGAATGGGGTCCTTATGGTTCTCCCCCTCTTTCGTTGCTCGTTCAGATGACGGCTACGTGTGGAACACGTTCTTTGACCCGGAGAACCCGAGCGACTACCCCAACCAGGCCGATGCCGAAGGCGACGTCTGGGAGACGCTCAACATGTCGGCCGAGGAGCAGCTTTCTGGTGCGCGGACCCACAGCCCCCCCAAACAACCAACGCAGTCGCTTCTTGCTCACTTGGGCGCATTTGCTCCGTCATCGCAGACCTCGCGGATGCGATGGAAGGAGAACAGGAAAAGGAGGCTCGCCTGGCAACCTGGGAGATGGTGCGCGAGTCCCTCCCCTTCTTCACATGCCGATCTCCTCTTCTTTTGATTCGCACGCATCGCACTTACACCCCTGCCACCGCATTCCCCCCCCCAATGCGTAATTGGCACCCGTGCGCGTAGGATCCGGCTCGCTTCAAGGGCAAGTGGACGCCCCGCGCCTGGACCAAGGAAGATCTCGAACTGTCTCACATCAAGCAAAGGTATGCGCCGGCGTTCAATCCCCCTCTCCCCCTTTCCCCCTTCATTGAATGATGCCTCGACTCACTGTCTGGCGTTTTTTTTTCTAACTTCCAGGGCACGCAACCTGCGATACCTGCGGGAGCAGCTCAAGAAGCACGGCCTTCTCCCCGAGGAGGACGAGGCCACCACTCGCGGTACTACCCATGGCGCCGGCCCCGGGGAGACAGCATCCGTATGCTTGGTTCCCTAACCTGGTCCCCTTCATTCTCCACAGAGGCGCTGATGAGCGTCGAGAGCGGCGGGCAGGCGTCGGCGGCCGCTGAGAGCTTTGACATCGACGAGATCGCCGACAAAATCGACGACAACGAGGAGAGCGTGCTCCTGCTCTTCGAGGACGATGCACAGAAGAAGCCGGCCGCCGTCCCGGAGCAGAAGGGCACCGAGGACGAGATCGCCAATCTGCTCAACGCGGTTCTACCGCCGACCGAGAAGGACCAGTCGCACGCCGCTCTGCTCGACGCTCTCATGCCCGCCGGGCAGCCGCAAGAGCAGGCGCAGCCCGAAAGCGGCGCCGCCGCTTCTGAGCCCACCACTACCACTGCCGCTGCCACCGAGCAGGAGCTCGCCGAATGGCGCGCCAAGGTCGACAAGTTCCAGGATGGCCTCAAGAAGCGCATTCGCGACGGCGCGACCGAGGAGACGATCGAGGAGGACGTGATCAACTTCATCACGGCCGAGGGCGGAGGCGCCCAGGACGAGGCCGAGGAGGACGAAATCGACTGGGAGTCCAGACTCCAGGACATTCCCGGCCTCGACCAGCCCGGCGAAGGCGGATTCAAGGGTACGCGCCACTCCTCTTCCAATGCTTATTTCTCAGTTCTATTTTGTTGCTCACACACACAAACACACACACACACACAGTGACTGGCGGACGTGAGGTATGTTCTAGCACAGTCCATGCAGCTTTGCATCTTGAGCAGCTGCTTACAACAGCTTTATTTTCTCTGTTCCAGGAGGCCATGCAGCGATCCAGGGAGCGAGAGGCCAGGCTCCACAAGCTCCAGGAGCACGTCAAGGTAACAGCCCACGTGCCATTGTGGTGCCTCGTATTCGTTGCGTGCAATGCAACTCACGCCGTGGGCCTTGTGTGTTGCGCAGGTGCTTTTCGATGAGTCGCCGAAGAAGAAGGTCTTTGCCAACGAGCCGATCCCAGGCGAACCCGCCATCGAGTTTATCCACAGCTACACTATGGTGCGGCCACCTTCGCTTTGTGTTGGCGTGTGCGGTGTGTGCGTGTGCGTGTGCGTGCGCGTTTGACTTAAATGAGCCATATTTCTCGCACAGGACCCCGACGTGACGATGGGCAGCCTTGCTCGCAGGGAGTTCCTCCAGCGCAAGGTGGTCTTGAAGGTTCACGTGCCGTCCCTCAGCCTCCCGCCTCCCGTGCAGCAGAGGCTCGCGGACCTCGTCGGCACCCGTTACGACGCCCGCTCCGGATGGTTGAAGCTCGTGGGCGACAAGCACCCCAACCGCCACCTCAACCAGAAGCACCTCACGCTGCTCATGCGAGAACTCCTCAACGAGTCCTTCCTCGCCGACTCCAGGTATGCCTTCAGTTCATCCCCGAGCGATAAAGAAAGAAACGAAGAAGATTAGACGCCCGGAACGCTCACACTGGTCGTGTGTCGTGTGTGTCCATTACAAAACAGGTTCACGCCACTCACCGATCTCAGCATTGAAGATCCGTCGTCGCTTCGAAGGAAGTACTCTCTGCCCACCAACCTTCAGAACATTTTTGGTACGGAACCACTGCGCGCGTCTCACACTCCACGCAAACGACGGCTCATCATTTGTATCGCTCCGATCTCTTCCAGACGGCAAGACCGGCAAGGGCGGCTGGGAGTACAAGATGTTCACCTTCAGTCAACTCGATGGCCGCTTCCCCTCCGCGCAGGAGTCCACCGAGGAGGCCGCCAAGCTCAGGCAGCGTCTCGCCTCCGCCCTCTCCCTTTGAACCTTCTCTGCTGCATCAAAGCATCACGTTCCCTAACAGTTCCCGTTATCGTCCAATCAGCAGCGTTTCTTCATTTCTTCTCCGCTTCACCTCCCTGAACCACTAACCATTAGCAAATGCGACAGTTGGCCAAGCTCACTTCTTCACAACATAACATGCCATACCGAGAGTCCCCGTTCAACCAAGGTGGACAGACGCCAATGAGTCTGGTGGCCGCGCTGGCCTCCGCCACCGTGTGCGTTGGTGTGCAACCATCCCCCCCCCCGGTTGGTCTCCACGCTCATCTCTTCGTTCTTTGCTCTTCGTTCTTTTTCTGGCCGCCAGCTCTGGTGTTGCAGGTGGTCAAGGTGGTGGTGGGACTGGTGCTGCGGGTGGCGTGTGGGGCGACCGGAGCCAGGTGGTGGGCCGCCCTGCCCGCCGACGAGCGCGACAAGATGAGCGGCCGGCTTGCGTGCAGCTTCCACCACGCCGTGGCCGCGGGCCTGTGCCTGTCAGCCGTCGTCCACAACAACTCGCAGCACTTCGTCTGGGCCTTCTTCTGGGAGGCCGGATTCGACATCAGCGACTCGCTGCTCGCCGCCTTGGGAGGTACAACGTGTGTTGCGTTGTTTCCGTGCGTCTGGCGTCACACCAACACCGATGTGTGTCGTGTCGTGTCGTGTCGTGTGTTATGTATTTTGTGTCGTGTGCCATATGGT